GGAGAACATGAGGTGAAGTTCTGGGTGAAGTTCCAGAGGACTGAAAGGTGGCGTCAGTGGTCCCAATTTTCAAAAAGGGTAGTAGAAGGGACATAGGGAATTACAGACCATTTAGCCTTATGCCCATTGTAGGAAAAACAATGGAAAGGCTCATGATAGTGAGAGATCTAGTGATGCTAGATAGGGAAGGGAGGCTGGCAGCCACACAACACGGCTTCCACATAAACAGGTCCTGCCAGACAAACCTTGTGGAATTCTATGACAAGGTTTTGAGATGGCTAGATGGAAGGGATGCAGTGGATGTGGTATACCTAGATTTCAGCAAGGCCTTTGGCAAAGTGCCCCATGATATCCTGGTGGAGAAACTGAGGAGTTTTGGGATACACCAAAGCACTGTCTGATGGATTAGGGCATGGTTGACTGACCGAAAGCAGAGGGTGACCATTAGTGAGGGATCATTGGGATGGAGGCCAGTGACAAGCAGGGTCCCCCAGGGCTCTGTCCTGGGGCCGATCCTGTTTAATCTTTTCATAAATGACATGGAAGAAGGGGTGAACAGTCTGCTGATCAAATTTGCAGATGATACTAAAACTGGGGCAGTGGCCACAACTGAGGAGAAGGTACTCCAGATCCAAAAGGATCTGGACAGACTATGGAAGTGGGCAGGAGACAACAGGATGAAGTTCATTGTCTTGCACTTGGGGCATAGGAATAGGTGTCGTAAGTACAGGATAGGAGAGAAGTGGCTGGAAAGCAGCACTTGTGAAAGGGACCTCTGGGTGCTGGTTGACTGCAGGCTAAACATGAGTCAGCAGTGTGATGTGGTGGTTAAGAGGGTGAATGCCACCCTTGGTTGCATAGCCAGAAGTGTGGCTTTTAGATTGAGAGAGGTATTACTACCACTCTATACGACTCTGGTGCCCCCGCAACTGGAGTATTGTGTTCAGTTTTGGGCCCTTCATTACAGGAAGGATATAGCCAGGTTAGAGTTAGTGAGCGTATGGCCACAAAGTTGGTGGCCAGTTTGCAGGGGATGCTGTATGAGGCAAGACTGAGGGAACTGGGTCTCTTCAGCTTGGAGAAGAGGAGACTCAGAGGCGATCCGTTGGCAACATACAGGTATGTGAGGGAATGTCACACGGAGGTGGGTAGAGACCTGTTCTCCCCTGCAGAGGAAGGCAGGATGCACTCCAAGGGAGCAAAGCTCAGGGAACCAAGGTTCCATTTAGATGCCAGGAAGCACTTCCTGACAGTTAGGACCCTGAGGGTATGGAATGGGCTTCCATGGGAGGTGGTTGAGGCCCCATCAGTGAGGGTGTTCAAAGATAGGCTGGACATGCACATGGTGGGCATGTCCTGAGCAGAGCCGGCTGGAGCTGGGGGTCAGACTAGATGGCCCAGGAGACCCCTTCTGACTTGCTCTGTTTCTATGTTTCTATCACAAAAGCTGCTGCTCCCTTCAAGGCATTGTTGGGTGATATATTGTGTTCCGTGATACAATGCATGCAAATCTGGTAATGGCAATGAAGCAGACAAAAATTATCAGGCCAATTTAAAAAAAAGACACAGTTCAATGGGAAATAAGGTTCTGCTGGAGAAGAAACATATTAGTCTGTCAAATATTTTTAACTGCAATTAGTGTACAGTCAGGCAGTATTATTAACTGTGTGCCTCTTAAAGGATTTAGTGAAGTTGCTTTAGTGCTGTTCATGCTTTCTAAACAATGCTCTTTGCTACAGCAATAATGCAGACCTTCTCTTCTGACAATCTGTAGCTAGCCTAGCTATGGATTAATTTACTTTCAGCATGATGAAAAATGAAAATGGGGTGGATCGAATTGGGCATCAATTGAACACCTTGTTGCCCACATTTTACATGTAATCTAGGTTTCTAGTAAATCAGGTTTCTAGTGAGTCTAGTGAGCAAGCTGCATACTGATGCATGAAGCATGTTTATTCCCATGTGGCTCCTCTCACTAAAACAAGAGTTCCCTTGTGGTACTGAAACCCTGGATCCTGGCTTGTTGTGCCCTTTAAACACAGAATTATAATCAGAGTTTGTTCCTATTTTATTAATCCTGGTTTGTTTGACAGCTACAAGGAAGGATCCTAAATCCAGATGATACAATATATTTTCTGGTTTATTTGGCTGTTCACATTTGTGCAGAGATGGGGAACTTATGGCCCTTCAGATATTGTTAGACTGCAGTCCCCATGGTTCTTCATGATTGGAAATGCTGGCTGGAGTGAGAAGTTGGAGAACAATAATATTTAGAAAGTTGCAGGTTCTCTCCTTTTACTGGTGAGAGGAAGCAAGCAGAAGCCGTGTCCATGTTTAGGAAGTTCATTCATGGTAAGCCAGGATTTGCCAGGATCCTGGCTTACCATCACATTCAAATGCTGGCATTATGTTGCTAGATTATAGGTCTTTTAGCTATACAATGTGGAAGGAGGGAGTGGGTCTGGTTGACTAGACCAGGGGTCCTCAAACTTTTTGAATAGGGGGCCAGTTGAAGGGCTGCGGTGACCATTGCAGGCTGGTGAGGTGGGGGTGCCTGGGGGCGCAGGCTGGTGAGGCAGCATCGGGCATGTGCGAGGCAGCATCGGGCATGCGAGGTGGTGGCTCGCTCGCTCGGAGATCTCCCAGTGAGTTCAAAACCATCTCTGAGCGAGCAAGCCACCACCTCCCCACCCACACTGCAAGGCAGTGGCGAGCATGCGCTTACGGGAGACAGGCAGCGGCAGCGGCGGAGGCTTGCTCACTCAGAGACCATCTCCGAGCCGCCACCTCCCCACCCATGCAGCAAGCATGTGTGCGGGTGGTGAACGGGGGCGCGTGCCGGATGGATGGCCATGGCAGCCTGGATCTGTCCTGTGAGCTGTAGTTTGAGGACCCATGGACTAGACAATATGGCTGTATCTTTTATTGACCAGCTTCCTTATCTTGGTGAAGGGCTACACAAAACTGGGGTGCATACAACTTGCTTAATTAGACAGAAATCCGCGATAACTAATTTTCAAATTTACACAAGATCTTTAAAAAGCTGCAAAATTTACACAAGATCTAAAAAAAGCTGTCTGGATCATAATGTCCAGGTAGAAGAAGGTTGGGAAAGGTGTCCTATCGTGTTCCCAAGCTATGTAGGACTTTATAGGTCAAAACCAGCACCTGGAATTGGGCTTGGAAGGATATAGGCAGCCAGTGCAAGAGGGCCAGAATTCTATGTTCAGATCATCTGATGCCTGTTTAATAACAGATGTCTGGCTGTATTTTGCACAAGTTGCAGCTTCCAAGCAGTCTTCAAGTGCAGTTCCACATAGGGTGCATTTCAGTAATCTAGGTTAGAGATTACCAGAGCATTGATCAATGATAACAGACTATCTCTGTCCAGATAGGGGAGTAGCTGAGCCACCAACCAAAGCTGGTGGAAAGTGCTCTAAGCTGCTGGAGCCACCTGGGCCTCACATGACAAAGATGGCTCAAGGAACACCCACAGGCTATGAACCTGCTCCTTCAAGGGGAGTGCAACTTCATCTGGAGCAAGCTGAATTCCCTCCATCCAGTCAGAAGAACCACTGATTAATAGCATCTCAGTCTCATCTGGATTGAGCTTCCCTGGTAACCCTCATTCAGTCCATTGTCATAGCCAAGAACCTGCTGAAGATGAAAAGGAGAGATAAAGCTGTGTGTTATCAGCATACGGATGACAGTGCACTCCAAAACTCTGGATGACCTCACTGAGCAGTTTTCGGAGAGTTCTGCTGCACGGCAAAAAGAAGATTGAATGGAAACAGTCAGATATTGCTTCTTTGCTGCTCTCACTGCCTCCAAATATATTAGGCTGTAAGCACAAACTAGGACTGTATCAACTAGACATTTTCCTCCATCTGCATGCAAACCTCCTCCTGAATTGTTTCATCACTCTCAACTCTGAGGTATGTTGTGGAACTGTAAAAATTCTACTCGGGAGCTATCGTGTCAACCACTCAAATCATCTCTGTATTCCAAAGATGACCAGCCATAACAGCAAGAAAATCCTTAAGACCTCTGGAAACCGTCTAGATCCATTAGCTTCCGGGGGAAGACCATCTTAATGGGTCCCCCACCCCTCCAAAGGGGAAAAATCACCAGTAGTCTGACTCTCAACAAGAAGTGATCTGTCCATGACAAGGTGGACAGAGTCAAATGTTCCACCTTCAGATCGATATCCCCCTGCCCAGCTGAATAAACCAAATCTAGAGCTTGTCCTGCTACGTGTGTTGCCATTCCAGCCTTCTCTGTCCCTCCGTGGCCTTGGCACCTCGCTTTTCCTGAATTGCCACCTGGCCAAGGCAGCTGGGAGTCAAGAAGTGTTAAATCTTCCTCTGCCTAGCCCTAGGAGCTCCTGGGAGACTTTCTGTTACAATACTTTCTAGATAGAAAAATTGCCCAACAACCTTACAGAAACCTCTGGAAGATCATGGCATTGTGAATGCATTAATGGAATTTGTTTACCAAAAAATAAAAAATAAACATTGCATGAATATATAATTAAAAACTAATCCTTATTTCATGATGACTAGCCTTTGGAGTGTAATGTATCTTAAACAGAAAACTCTTTAGATAGATGTTTTCTCAAAATGAATTTTATTTAAAAAAAAAAACAATTTAAATTTAACAAATCCAGATTAAATTTTTAAAAAACCAATTTAAATTTAACAAATTCAATTTAAATTTTAACATCGGAGTTATTGTTTTTAAAAAGTCACTGATTTTTACCCACCCTGGTTAAAATTCACTGAACATTCTTCTAAATGGCAATTCTTTAAATTATTCTGGATTCCAAAAGAGGGTCGGGGAGCTTAGACGGGGCGTCCAGGAGGGGAACCGTCTGTGGGGACAACAAAGCGGGAGGCGGCGGAGGCGGCCGGGAGTCGCCCCCGAACCTCCTCTCCCCTGAAGGGAGGCGACGAGCGGCTCTATTAATGGCGCTCGGTGCCGAGCGCCCCCTCAGAAGGAGCATGCATTGCTGGCCGAGTCTGGTCCTCAGCGCCCTGCTGGTGGCCCTGGGGCTCCTGCTCCTGTGGCTGCACCTCCACCGGCCCGTTTGCTACGGGAAGCACGAGCTGCAGCAGCGGCACGACGAGGAGCGGAAGGACGGAGCGGGAGCGGACAGAGCCGAGAAGCCGCCGCCGCCGCGCCGCGCCTGTCTGCCCGCGCGCTACGCCTGGTTCCTGCAGGAGCTTCCCGCTCTCCTGGTGCCCGCGCTCTTGCTGGCGCTTCGCAGCCCGCCCCGCCTGGCGCCCCTCGGCTGCAGGCTGCTGGTGGGCATGTTCTGCGGCCACTACTTCCACAGGTAAATCGCGAGGGAAGCGGGCGGGAAGCGCGACGCAGCCCGGGAAGGTGGGCTTTTGCTGGCTGCTTTTACCGTCGCTTTTCTTGCCACCTCCATGCGGTATGCCCTCATTAAGTCTTATCTTTCTGATGCACCTGTCTGACCTTCTTGTGTAACCTGCTTCTTTGCAGCAAAGCTCTTTGGCATTCTCCAACAAAAAGATCGGAGGAGACAGATATGTGAGAGTCTGCCTCCCTCCCTCCCTCTGGTAAAGATTTAGACTAGGTGGAGTTTGAAATGCTGAGCTAATTAATACATCTTTGGTTTCTTCATTATAAGGCAGAGAATTTGGAATGCTAGTATCAATCAGAGGTTTAGACAACAAAAAGGAAGAAATATATTGACAACAATAACCTATTGCTTTTAAAACTGATGTACCTGTTACTTCATTTCAGCCCTAGGTGTATTTAGGGCTGCAGCATCACAGAGGGCCAACCTAGTTAGCAAGGGGCAACCTCCCCTTCTGCCTCAAACACAGCTTTTTATAGGTTACATCTGTTACATCAGGTCTTCTCTTGGAACACAACAAAACAAGGTGGAGGAACTTTGTATCACAAACAACTTTCATTTCGGGAATTTTATTGTATCATGCTATCTGGGCATTTCAAAACTGTAACTAAAATATCCCCGCCCCCTCCAGAACTTAACCTTTAGAGATCACTGAGAGATCTTTGGCTTTGGTTATATTTGGCTTCATGAGAAACAAAAGGTGCTAACTTTTCAGCTAATTTTCTTCCACACTTTTTCCTTTTGTAGCTTCATCTTCATCCCTGGAAACCTGTCTCCTCACATGTCCACTCTTTCTGTGATACATCACATTACATATTTACTCTCTTGTTGGTCTATTCTCTTGAAGCAAATTCTGTATCATTTTTCCTGTTTTCCTGCAAAATTTCTATTCTGCCTTGGCTAAGAACATGCTCTAGATAGGTAGTTATCTCCTTAATAAAATGATAATGCAGAGAGACTTGTATCTTTGTGTCAAGAAAGAATAGGCAAAAGTACATAGCAAAGCAGAAAATTACCCTTTTTTCAGCAATCCCGCATCATTCAGATGAGTTGCTCACAAAATAGAGCACACAGGAGCAAGGGAAGGGTGAATTTCCACAACTTCTCTTTACCCTACTACAAGGTCATTATCGAATTAGGGAATGGATGTTCTACCATGCCAATATAAACACCATCTGGAATACAGTAATTAATAGCTCTCCATTTTTTAAAGAGCTAGTATCTTGCCATAGTTTACAAAAGTGGAGGGGGGCAAAACAACAGCAAAAATATAACCTACTGAAATTGGTCTCACTTTTACTGCAGCAGCTCACTGAATGTGGTATAATTTTTCTATCTCAATTTCATTTACTCCTTCAGAATTCTTAAGGAGATTAGACTCAGACAGTTTAACAGTTGACATACTTGCAGCAGTATCTACCAGAAGTCACATTCTTTACCATTTACTTTGTGAGTAAGCATTGGATTGGAGGCAGAGAAATAGAAGAAAATGGCGGAGTCCCCTCATAATGTTAACAGTCACTGCACTGCATGGTATCTTAGAGTCCTGTGTTCACACATTCACATCATAACCACTCATGAAAAGTTTCCATGCACCTCAATCTTTCCTCCAGGTAGAAGTACATACCCCATCAGCCCCTGCTGCTTGGCATCAATCCAGCATGCATCGCTTCTGTCTGTCCCACCTGGGTTTCCCCCATTGGTCCTCATGCTCCCCTAGGTGCATCCTGTACCCAGACAGCACTTTTTTTTCGAATAAGTTTTATTCTTAATAGACCTAAACAAAAAAGGAACTAAAAAGTCATCAGTCATCAAAAACATCAGACCTACTGGGTCAGCCCCCCACATTTTTTCTTTTTATGTTAAACTATAAACATATTTAGATCTATGCATAGTCCCGCTTCTCTAGCCAATAATAAAAAGAGTCCCAGGTTTGATAGAAGTCTGTATCTTCTTTCTCCTTCAGAGACAAAGTCAACTTTTTATCTTTTAATAAGGCTTTGTTTAACACCCATCTGGGCATTTTTACTGTACCTTTCAATTTCATAGTTACAGCATTATGATCTGCCCAGACATTTGTCTCTATTTCAGCTTCTAGCAGATCTGGTATTAAGTCTGGGGTTATCCAAATCATATCAATTCTGGACCATGACCTATGTCTATTCAAGTAGACAGTATACTTAGCAGAGGTTGGGTTTTTATGTCTCCAAGAGTGTGTCAATCTAAATTCTTCAATTATATTAAAGGAAGCCTTTGGAAGTATCCTCTTGCCTTTTTTCTCCTTAGTCTCACTCTTATGATTCATTTTTTGTCCACAATTGTGTTGAAGTCTCCCATTAAACCCAAAATCTGATAATCCAGTTGCGAGAGTAAGTATGTAGTTTTTGGTAGAACATTTCCTGGTGATCATTTGGGGTGTAGATCACCACCAAAAGCAACTTTTAAAATGTGCAATGAATAAAATGAGCCTTCTTGGTAAACAGGTCAGTCACAACCAGAATGGTATTATAACCTTTGGACGCTGGTAAATCAGTAATAAAATCTAAAGAGACCATCTGCCAGGGCCCCGGGGACATTGGCAGGGGCCGTCGTAACCCAGAAGGTTTCCCAGGCTGATGCTTGGCCTGCTGACAGGTGGGACACAACTGAACGTAAATCTTAACATCATTGTTTAAACAAGGCCACCAAAATCCCTAGTAACGGAAGTGTTTTTGTTAGGCATTCTTTTTGATGAATTTGATAAACAAAGTACATATTTGACTTTACATGTAATCACAGCGGTGAGGATTGTATTTGCACAGCATTAGAGGAATGAAGAAATGATCCCAAAGAATATACTGGACTGTACAGAAATGGACAGTCTGACTTTGTCTCTTAAGGAAAAAGAAGGCACATACTACTATCAAACTTGGGACATTTTTATCAATGGCTAGAGAAGTGGAACTATACTTTGGGCTGAAACATACATTGATTGTAAAGAGAATAAGATAATACCCAGTATGTCCTATGTATTTTGAATGACTATTGTGTTATTGGTAGAAAATAATAAAAACTTTTTAAAAATCCCTAGTAACAGCATGTAAAGTCTTATAAACACCAAAATGACCAGCAGAGGGAGCATCATGACACTGACATAAGGCCCATTCTTGAAGAGAGAGAGGCACATATACAGGTTGGTTACAAAACAACAATCCATCTCTAAATTGTAATACAGAAGATAATGCACCAGCATTCTGCTCCCCGAACTTGTCCAGAACAAAGGCATCTTTCTGTTGTGCTTGGCGGAGATCATTCAACCACAGTGAAGAGGCAGTCGCCAACTCTGGGTGCAAGGTCAGAGCTGGCACAGGGTGCACATCTCCATCTTCAAAATACTCAGGCTTTTGCAATAATGCATCTGCCAGGAGGTTCTGAGATGAAGGAATATACTCAATGTGAAAGTGAAAACAAGCAAAAACAAAGCCCAGTGCTTGTCTTTGATTGAGGAGCTTTGCAGATTTAAAATGCTCAAGGTTTTTGTGATCTGTTTGAATGAGCACTGGATGAACAGCTCCCTCCAGTAAATGTCTCCACTCCTCTAGAGCAGCCTTAATCATCAACAACTCCTTTTCCCATATGGTGTAATTTTGTTCAGATGAAGTAAGTTTACATGAGTAAAAAGTCACAGGTAGAAGATCTCCTTGCTTCCCCCCTCCCTCCAATAGCACAGCCCTCAAAGCTCAGTCTGTGGGCCAAAAGGAGTGGCAGTATCAGGATGAAGCAATTGTGTTTCTGAAGCAAACTGTTGCCTTAAGGCATGAGAAGCCTCATCCATCTCCGGTGATCAACTAAAGCTTTTCTTTTTTCCTTTCAGGAGATCAGTCCAAGGAGCCATGAGGTGTGATTAATTGGGGATGAACTTGAGATAAAAATTGGCAAAGCCTAGGAATTTCTGTAACTCATGTAATATGTGAGGCAGTTTCCACAAAAGCACTGCTTGCACCTGAGCAGGATCCATTTTTAAACCAGCTCGGGAAATTTGATACCCCAAATAGTTTAAGGTGGTGAAATGAAATTCACATTTCTCCAGCTTTGCTGAAAGCTGGTTTTCCCTCATCCTCTGCAACACTGCTCTAATGTGCTGTACATGAGTGACAGGGTCCTAGGAGAAAATTAGCAAATCATCCAAATACACAATCAGAAATTTATCAAGGAAATCATGAAAAATTTCATTCATTAATTTTGAGAATGCTGCCGGGCCACAAATTAATCCAAAAGGCATGACTAAGAATGCATAATTTCCTTATCTCGAGCAAAATGAGGTCAAATATTCAAATCCCTGTTTGATTCTGAGAAAGATTATAGGTATTCCTGAAGTCTAACTTTGTAAAAACAGTTGCCTGCCCCAGGTACTCCAGCATCTCCAAGATCAAAGGCATAGAATGTGTATTGGGAATAGTAATTGAATTAAGATTGGGAAAGTCTATGCAAATGTGATGTTCTTGTGAGCCTCTTTTCAGAATAATTAAGGAGGGAGCTGATGAGGGAGATGAAGAAGGGCAAATAAAGCCTTTTTGCAAATTAGTGGACTCTTCTGAATGCACGTGCACAGCAGATGCCTGCTGTGCTTGTCTCACAAGGCCTGGCCTTGATGCACTGCCGGTTTACAGGGCACATCAGCAAGCTCGCAAGGTGAGGCTGTGATCGTGATGAGGTCAGGCCTTGCAGGATGGGCATGACAGACATCTTGGTGGGGCAAGGTAGGCTTGGTGGCAAGGCAGGCCGGCAAGGCTGGCATCATGGCAGGGCAGTCAGGCATTGGGCAGTGTGCATCAGGAGCGAAGACAGGGAGCATGAAGACATCCAATCAGCAGCCTGCTGCCAGCAACTCGGCAGTTGCTAGGCAGAACAGAGCAGAGGAAAAGAGCTGGCGGAACAGCCTCAGCTACTCTTGCCACCAAACTCACTGTTAG